TAACAAAACACACACACCCCTGCTGTGCTAGTGGTGATGACAGGGCCAGACACCACTAGCACCCGGGGGGGAGGCTCCATCTATTGGTGGGGAGCATCACCTGCTGGAAAACGGGTCCAGCGTCCCTTTACAGAATGTATTGCAGAATAGATACAGACTGGATCAGAGTCAATTACTTGGATTAAATTTAATTTTGCAAATAACCTCCATTCATATTATTATCACAGATTAACAGATTTTGTCAAGATCTTCTGACTGGGTACAGGTTACATCAGTTTCGCACGACGCCATGACAAACGCCATCCCGTATCTAGAACAACATCCCTCTTCCTTTTTTTTTCACACAGGCCGCCCGATGGCGTGCTCCTGCTATACTCCACATATTGCCCCGTTGCGAGAAGATGAACCTAGGCGAAACACCAACTCCACGAGGCGCGAAGACGNCATAATGCCCCGTTGCGAGAAGATGAACCTAGGCGAAACACCAACTCCACGAGGCGCGAAGACGTACCAAGGACAAATGCCAACCTCGCCCCGCCACGACAAGAAGAGCTGGAAGGGTCTGCGCACCGACACCCCCGCTTCTTAATCCCGGAATCCCACTTCCCATCCCCTCTCCCCATTGCAAAGAGGGGGGGAAGAGGAAGGGCCTGCCCCAAAGCGCCCTTATCACTGATGAAGCCCACCCTGTCCCCCCTTCCCAGAACACGGAACCAGGTGAGCCTCGAACGGTTCCCCCTGTCCTAGGAAAAGGACAGGCTCTGCATCGAGGCCACTCGCCTTCGTGATCACGATCGTCAGGCGGGCATGGCTAAACGTCGATCCCGACGTCAACATCGTCCTAAGAGCAACCGTAAACTAGGGAATGACATCATCCAATCAGCTAAAGGGAATAGGCTCTGCATCTAGGTCATTCGCCTTGATCACGATCGTCAGGCGGGCATGGCTAAACATCGATCCCGACGTCAACATCGTTGTAAGAGCAACCGTAAACTAGGGATTGACGTCATCCAATCAGCTAAGGGGGATCATGAACGATGCCCCCTCCTTCCCCCCCCCTTCAAAACCTTCATTGAAACACGCCGTTATACCAGCCCGAAGATTTGTCAGCAGTTAGGTTCCGCAGACGGCCAAAAGGAATCGCCTTTCTCGTTTCTCTTTCTAGAAGACGACCTGAATGAGGTGGTGTCGCTTGGGGGCGGAGAGGGGCGCTCCATTTGAGTAGAGGGGTCGGCTGTGCCACTTTTCGCTTTTTCCCCCCTTCGGGTGTGCCACTACAAATAACTTCGATCATGAACGCAATCGTCACAAGTATTGTCCGTTGGGAGGGAGGCAGTAAAGGGGGGGGAGGGATATCTCCTTGGATGCTCTTTCCCTCTTTTTTTCCCCTTTTGGCGACATGGTTAATCACTCGTATTCGAGTTCACGTCTGTGGCACTTTATTAACGTACTCCCGGTCAAACAACCTCTTTTTGCTTTCAATTTTTCGGTGGGGAGAGAGGAATTACACTATGTGCACGATTAGTAAGGCCCTCCGAACCAAATCCAATCCAAGTCATTAGGTGGGTGGTATACGATATGCGGTGGAGTAGGTATGGACGATTACGACTCTTTCCTGCGTGATAGAGCCAAAAAAGAAAAATAGAAAAGGTTGCGCACAGACAAACAAGTCTGGTTCCACTTACACACTATCGCGCATCAGGTTAAATGTACCTCACTTGTTTATTCGACCCATGGCAACCACAAAAGGAAAGTTCAATCATTTCTCCGCACAGAAGATACACAAAAGAACACTTCCTTTTGGTGGCCGGCCGCTGTGCCTTTAGCCGGTTTCTGCGCCTGGAAGAAAAACTGCAAGCGATGTAGTAACCATGCAGATCACGAAACTTCCTATCCTCTTCAATAATCCTCACACTTCTATACTTTTTATGCACAATGCATCAGCCGCGCTTATCCTTCCACATTCAGTGATGAATATCTGAGTTTGGAACAGCGAAATAAATTGTCCAGAGATTTCTGTGGCGGGGCGGGGCCGGGTGGGGTGGGGTGGGGTAGAGTAGAGGAGGGGAGAGAGAGATGGAGGGAAGCGGGGGAGAACACGGACAGCAATATAAATGCGTAACCATTTTCTTTTGAGCATCCACAGATGCCAAAATTCGGTCGCAAAGAGATCCTCTCCCCTTTTTGCAAAACCCACCGTCCGATCCAAGCTCAGAAAACGTGAGAACTTCGTACCTCTCACCGATATACGTCGTCGTTCCCATTTTCCTCCTGGCATTTCGGGCCCCATCGTCACCACTTCCCCAAATTCCTTACGTTCAAACTTCTTTCCGTTACTTTGCTATTGATCTCTCCCTATTTTCCTTTCTTTTCTTAATTAAATTTTCCCTTTCTTCCCATATCTGCTTTGGCGCCTCTTCCTTCATAGCTTTGGGAAACGCACACGACACGAGGGACACAGCTCAAGCCTGGGTGAATGTAAAGAGGACGGGGGGTGTCGAAAGCTCGGTTGAGCAATCGATATATTGGCTGCTATGGAGGGGTTCTGCGTAGCATAAGAAAAATCCACCCAGCAGCATTCACATGATCCGGAGTTGGGCAACGTTAACACCCGCGTTTCAATTTCAAACAAAATACTAGCAATTCTCTCTCTCTCTCTCTCTCTCTCTCTCTCCTGTCTCTTATACACATCTAGATGTGTATAAGAGACATCTCTCTCTCTCTCTCTCTCTCTCTCTCTCTCTGTGTGTGTGTGTGTGTGTGTGTGTGTGTCTGTCTTTGAGTACATAGATGATATATCTTTGACGATATACATCGTCAAACAAAACTCACCTGTAAGCCGTAGGTAGAGAGAAGAGGACAACAAACGAGGGGCTGTGACAGACTGTTTCATCGGAGTTTCACCGACTCGTCGGGAGGCTGAACCCTCTACAGTCTACAGAGTCCCCTAACCGATGATAATGCACCTTAACCCCGGACAGTCCACAGAGTCCCCTAACCGATGATAATGCACCTTAACCCCGGTTGCCGTTAAGCATAAACAACTGCCGGACAAATGATACCTTGAGGTGGGCACCACATACATGTGCAGATATAGACACTGGTACATGTACACATCATAGCTGCGCACACATAATGTTGCATACCTGTACATGCACGTACGCTCATTGCTGCCGGAATGCACGTCCGCAGTGCTAAGCGCCGAGAACACAGGACCTCAGAGGGATCAAACTGAGTGCCCTATCTACGTCCTTATCTATATCTATTCACATAGAACAAAACGCGTCTATTCCACACAAACAAAACACGTCTATAACAAACGTACCTCATATAAGACAGTCACTGCACGCGTTCCCTTGTCCTGAGCGTGACGTTCTTCTGGAAAGATAGCTCCTTCTCCACCCCGCTCCCAAACTCACACGCCACTTCTCGTCCCCCCCCCCCCCCCAGAGTGCGCCCCCCCTATGCTCCCTTCCCTTCCTTGACCACTTTGCAAGGCTGGAGCTTCTATTCTCTACGCCTCCATCGCAAAGAACGGGTCTCATACTTTCCGCATGGACGATTTCGATGTAAAACCAACAATGAGCTGTATGATCCCAGGGGTGTTCTACGTCCACTGAGTTATACTACAGCCGCATTCTCCTCACCTACTGATGCTCCACGACCCCTCCTTTCACGATCAACCGTATACGAGTTAGCAAGGGAGACATATGGGTTCAAAAGGTTCCCCGCACTCTATGAAAGTCCTTTCCTCGACTCGTTCATTGCCATTGCCCACATTTTGGCGGCTTGTCCTACCCATAGGCGGGGGTGTTTCAGGGGTATTCTCCCATACATCCTAGCGACCATCCCACACCCGAATCCTTTAGAGCCCCACTGCATCCTAAGAAGGACATCCACCACACAGGGCGGGAATTCATACCCCAAGCAATATGGAAGAGGAACATAACTCACACCTGATAGGAACATATCAGGTGGGAGGGTTATTATAATTAACCCACCCATTCGCCGGCGAACTCCCCCCTTCCACGGCTCATGTTACCCAGCTCTAGCCTCCCGCTGGCTAGCTTGAAGCCTTCTGTCTGATCTCCTATCTAGCTGGCCCGGGCGGCTCCCCCCACCCAGTTTACGACTACTCCCACACATTCAGTGAAGCGAAACCCATGAACGCAATCAATACTGTCTGATCAATCTACAGCAATCGAAGGAGCAGACAAAGTGCCGACGTGATGTATTCTGGGGCAGCCGCAGGACTTATGCAAGCTAGTTCCAGATTTCATTCTTCTAAGAGAGGCGCCTCTGACAAGTCGATGCTGGACTTACCCTCCCGACCCCGTCGCCGACCGGCCTCTCTCTCTCTCTCTCTCTCTCTCTCTCTCTCTCTCTCTCTCTCTCTCTCTCTCTCTCTCTCTCTCTCTCTCNTCTCTCTCTCTCTCTCTCTCTCTCTCTCTCTCTCTCTCTCTCTCTCTCACACACACACACACACACACACACACAGAGACACACAAACAAACACTACGCAAGCGAAATCAATCAACCCATTGATTAACCTACAGCAGCTGCCTTCACATTACGACAAGAACTAGCCATTGCAGACTGCATCACTGTCAGTGCCCGAAAAACAAAGAGAGACAAACGGCAAACCAAAGTTATCGATCCCACCGTATCCGAACATGCTGCGTTTTCTTCAGGCATTCCTGGAGGATAAGGAGAAGGACAGAAGATAGTCCAAGTGCAATGAGCATAGCGAAGCGCACTCTGCACAGCTTACCTCCCCGCCCCCTAGTGGATATACCCGCGGGTTCGCTGAGAAGAATTCAAGTTTCTCCTCGCGCTCATCGGCAGATTAGACATAGCTTGCCGCCGCAAAAACATTTGGCGATTTCGCTGATACTACACTGGGCCTACAGTAATTTCTCGGCGTCCCATCGTCGCGCTCATGGGAGGCTCCTGTTTTGCAATCTTTTCCTGTTCAAGATCGTTTTGACGAGAGATGAAATACGAAAAGAACAGGACTAGGAACACAAATCATTCAACACTTCGTACCTGCTCCGACAGAGCTTGGTTGAGCCGCTCTGATTGCTCCTTGATCGTTTCCTGCAGATCCGCCATTCGTACCTCCAGCTTCTTGATGTGGTTGTCTTTCTGCAGCAGCCTGTCCTCCACATCGCTTACTCGGTTGCTCAGAGCAAGAACCGCGATTCGCCGCGCCATCTCCAGCTGCTCGAACGGATCTAATGGTAAAGCAGCTCTCAATCCTTCCGGCAGCATCTCCTCAGGCTGCGTGACGCCCGTTCCATTACTCTCGGTCATCTCCATCCAGCCCTTTCCTCCTTACCGTTCTCTCTCTCTCTCTCTTTCTCTCTCTCTCTCTCTCTCTCTCTCTCTCTCTCTCTCTCTCTCTCTCTCTCTCTCTCTCACTCTCTCTCACACACACACACACACACACACACGCACGCACGCACACAAACACACACACGCACACAAACACACACGCCCGAGCACGCTCTCTTGCCCGCGCACCCAGTCAGAAACGGACGGGCGGAGAAGAGAGAGTGGGGCGTGCGCAGACGCACATCGAACGCACGCCCCAGTACTTTCGGATACGTGCCGGCCCACCCATCAGCGAACCAGCATGGACCTGCCCGTCTACTCGTTAGCGAATCAGGATGAACCTGGCTTAGCACTTTTTACGGAGTGGAAACGTAAACGGCGAGTGGATTGATTGATTGATGGGTGTGCACAAACCCAAGTCGGAAAGGTCACCTGAACACCAACATGGAATGCGTCTCCATCCCATTAACCAACCTTGCAACGAGGGCAGCAGGTCTGAGAACCTCGCCGCGAAGGTCGCGGTGTGCGGCGACACGCCGCGCGCACGCATCCGGATCGAATCGATGAAACAAAACCGCCGTCAACGAGACCACGACGGAGAGTAGGGGCTGTACGGATGAACGTTCTCGATCGTAGAGAAACGGGCAAGAGGCTGACTTCCTATTCGATCTCACTCCCGGAAGTCGTCGACAGTCGACAACAGGCACAGATTTACGAGCTCGGCTGTCAAGTTGCTACGGAGGGCGCTGCGGACGCAGCAAATCCAGAAGGTAGAGACGTTGCCTCAGGTGAGAGGCTACCTCGACAAGAAAAAACCGCCACAGAAGGCTCGGCCCCGCGCACACTGCTCACCAAATGTGTAATACAGAGAATGTATATCTATCCACACCGTGGACAGATACAAACGCCATAGCATTTGTGTTTTCACATTTGGTGAGTGGTGTGGCGAGGCCCGAGGTAAGGAGGCTTTCGTGACCGAGACCGCCGCGACATCGTGGCGGACAAGCGCAGGAAAGGGGGGCAAGAGTGTGAGCGGGAGAACCGCGTACGACACGCACGCCAATGTCCTCTGTGATTTCTTCGGGACATCCGTTAAAATTGGAACGATACGGAGAAGATTAACATGGCCCCTTTGTGATTTCCTTTTCTCGTCTAATTCATCTTTCTTGGTATTACGCATCTATGGGCCTCGTTAGACCATCCGTACGAGTTCCTTGAGCCACAAGGAAATTTTAGGGGCATGGTTCCACACATCCTTGGGGACTACTTCAGAGGACGTGGCCTTGTGGCCTGCCCGCGGCCTTTTTCATACCAATATATGCGGCCGCGGGGTCGCATGTCCGTCTGGTGATGGCGTGGTCCAAAGGCGTCCGGCGGGAAAGGGCCCCGCGCGGTCGAAGAAAATGAAAAACAGTAAAGGGTACCTCTGCGTTCGAAATTTGAAATTTGAATCTCGTCTGCGGTGACGGCATCGATGTTGGGCAGGCGGCGCGAAGACAGTGCGGTGCTGAAGCGGGCTTCTAGTTGCCGCTCAGTGTGTGTATGCGCAGCAGGTTTTGCCATCGCCGACGATGTTGTAGTGAGGGGCGTGTGCGTCGTGGGACTCGTCAACGTGAGGAGGACGACATCCCCAGAAAGGCGACAGCTTGTCGGACCTCTGCTCGGGGGTGAGCTGTTCGCGTTTCCATGGCGGGAGGATCGGTCCAGTTGTGGAGAGACATCATTGCTTAGCACGTGGCGGCCATGACACCCCTGGAGCGGGCGGTTGTGGCGACAGCCGTGTCCACTGCCATTCTTCGTTGTCAGCAGAAAAGGATGTTGGGACGAATGAAGGCGCGAATGCCAGCGCGTAGACAAAGGTTGCTCACGAATATTCCGGATGACGGGCCCGATTACGTGGTGACGACGGAGGCGGTCAACAAGTTGTGCTACTCGTTGGGTTACGAAATCATTCCGCGGACGACGCCGACATGGTGGATGGGAAGCTACGAATGTCACCATGTGTGTTTTGGGAGATCGCGGAGGCATGTGCTCCTCATCTTCAGCGTCGGGTGACGTTCTACCGGGAGCCATTGCAGCCCGACCACATTGTGACATACGCGTTGTACAATTGGGCTTCCAACGAGACGTACGAGAGCAACACTTGCAACTTCGGCATCGGTAGGGCCTCGGGTCTTGTTGTTGTTCGTGATGTCACTGTCGCGCTGTTGAGAGTGTACCGTTGTCGCGCCCCCACTGCTCCAAGGGTCTGGTTAGATGTCCTTCCCCGGACCGAGCGTAGTGGGTTGGTGGACTGGCAGGCTGTCACGCAAGATTTTGATAGGTATAGAATAAAGGTGTATTCAGAGGCAGTCTTTGTCACACTTAGTCATACAACCGAGTAGTCAGGGTTATCCCTCCTGTTAGCGGCGACACGGCTTAGAGTGAGGCGTTTGGGTTTATCGCCTGCACCTGACCCCATATAAAGGTTAGATTAAAGGTCACCGGAGTCCCTATTGTCCAGGAGTCGTTCAAGCTACCTTGAGTGTAACCTGTATAACATAAGGAGGAAAAATAGCATACATACATCATAGAGCAATTGACACTGACAGGACGAGAAGACCAGAAACCAGACTCTGCAAAAGCATGACCAGAAATACTAGACTGAAGAGTAGTACACAGTGTATGCAGGGAGTAACCATCAGAGGGCTGCAGTCACTAATAAATCATAATAATGTCATGATACATCATAGTGACTAGAAAGAAAGAATCTCAATCAATAATGATAAGTGGTACCCCTTTGTGAGTAAGTGTTGTTGTCTAGGACTCCATATCTGGTACCCGTTGGTCCCCCTCGTCATTGAGAACCCGTGTGGCTATCGACTCTGGAACCACATAGCTGATATCAAGAGGCGCTGCTGGATCAATCTTGCAGATATAGGCCATGCATTTTGCCATCTCTTCGTCTGCAACGCTCATGAGATAAAGCTCCTCTGCGAGGGTGATATTGTCCGTAGCTCCAATCAATATCTCAATCCATCCTCTCCTATCATCGTAGACACGTAAGAAACCTCGAGGAAACGATCTCCGTAAAGAGGCTTCCGAAAAGCCTGCATAGCAAAGTCAGCCCCGACCAAATGACTATAGCCATCTCCGAGATATGGGACTGGACCTTCCCCTCTTGGGGGACCAAGAACCACCTCGGTCCTAGGGTCGTCTGACATGTAGGAGTCAATCGCCCTCAAGCAGATACCGTGCAAGAAAATACGCAATCCTCCTCAATGTTGCTTTTCGTCGTCGTCGCTTACCGGTCTCCAGCGCTCAAGTCTCTGCAAGCAAGACTCAGTCTTTGTGAGTGTCCCAGTCAAAGTAGTCTCCAAGGTCAACTTCACTCACACAGCAAGGCTCCAGGTCAGACTCATCCGTCTCAGATCTCTGTACGCAAGTAGTGATCAGGACCCCGGATCTGGCTATTTCCCTCCTAATCCGGTTTTCCTTTCGCCTCTTTCCCTTGTTGCGAGCCTTGCTGAGAGGTTTGGGATTGCACCCATCAAAGTCAAAGAGTACGCCCTCAGGTGCCAAAGGAACGCGAGGAAACATCGCGTGTAACTAATTATCCCTCCAATAGCTCTCCCTGCAGAATATGTAGTCTGCTATCCTGTCATACGTGGTGCCCTTCACTCCCTTCCATGCCCCTTTGACCGAGTAGGTAATCACCAGCGTGTGCCTCGATGTAGGGGACTCATTAGCCCTGATAATGAAGCTTTGTTGTCTGTCATACTGATAACAGCACTTCTCAACTAGCTTTCCCCATGCGGGGGTTGTCTCACAATGACGGGCCAGCTTGGGCAAAGGGGGATGCGCTCCTGTGAGTATAAATATTTTTTCTAGCTCAATGTAGGGGCCTGCTCGAATAGGCTCAGATGAATCAATAAGAGGGCCCGCCTGAAGGGGTCTGGCTGAACTGTAGCAATCTCAAGGAATGGGCCTGCCTGAAGGAGCCTGGCTGAAACTGCAACAATCTCGATAAATGGGCCCGCCTGAAGGGGCCCGGCTGAACAACAACAATCTCAAGAAAAGGGGCCCGCCTGAAGGGGCCCAGTTGAGCAGCAACAATATCAAGGAATGGGCCCGCCTGAAGGGGTCCGGCTAAACGACAACCGATCAGCAAGACATCTCATGCACAGGGACCAGTCATAAATGTTGAATGTACTGGGGCTGGACCGTGCCAAGTCGCCTGTGCAGGGACTGAACTTCAAATGCTCCCCGCGCGGGAAAGTATCATGTACATGGGGTGGTGCTGATCAGCAAGGAAATAACTCGACGGGAGCGTGAAGGCAAATTATCCCAACTAGATCATACTAGCATAATACTCGCTTTGACATCATCATAGCAATCCTAGGCTCGGGCACGCATGGACGCGCACGCAAATGACAATATCCAGCCTGGGCGCACGTAGGCGCGCACTCTAATAACATTTTCAGGCTTGGGCGTGCATGGGTGCGCACTCAAATAACAATATACAGCGCAAGCGCGCATGGGCGCATAGTCAAATGACAGTATCGAGCATGGGCGCGCACTTTAACAGCGATGCCAAGCTTGGGCACGCATGGGCGCGCAATTTAACTGCAGTGCCAAGCTTGGGCGCGCATGGGCGCACACTCAAATAGCAATTCCTGGCTTGGGCGCGTATGGGCGCGTACTCAAATATTAATGTCGGGTGTGGGCGCGCACGGGCGCATACTCAGAAAACAATATCGAGCACGGGCGCACACTCAAATAGCGATGCCGAGCATGGGCGCGCATGAGCGCGCACTCAAATACCAATCCCAGGCATGGGCGCGCATGGGCGTGCACTCAAATAACGATGTCGAGCATGGGCGCGCACCCAAATAGTCGTACTAAGCCTGGGCGCGCATGGGCGCGCGCTCAAATAACAATATCAGGCTTGGGCGCGCACTCAAATGGCAATTTCAGGCTTGGGCGCGCATGGGCGCGCACTCAAATGGCAATTTCCTCTACAACACACAAAATCATAACTGACAAGGCCAAAACAGCAGGGCACGCATTAGCACAAAATTTCAAACTCAACAATGTCTACTGCGGAATGACTAGCAAGGCCAACAGCGGAGTGCGCATTGGATCACTATCTCAGACTCAGCAAAGCCCGCAACAGATTCAATGCTTGTTGGTGTTGGTTCATGGTCAAAGTTCACTGGTCAAAGCAAGCTCGCAGATTTGAGTGCTGGTTGGCCCACTGACTCAAATTCAGCCTTCAATCACAGTGCGCGTGAGCGCTCAAAATCCAGCCAAAATCAGCCCATAGTAGTGTGCGAAAGCGCTCAAGATCTGGCTGAAAATCAGCCCATAATAACAGTGCGCGAGAGCGCTCAAGATCCGGCCAAAAATCAGCCCATAGTAACAGTGCGCGAGAGCGCTCAAGATCTGGC